TGCTTAGTTTAAAAAGTAGATATGCAGCCTTCAGCACTCCCAAAGGGGAAGTGATCCCTGAGTCCTGGATGAGAGCAGACATTTCCTGTAGTGAAGTCCTTTTTAGAGGCTAAGGGTTAGCAAAAGAAGATGCAGGTGCCCAATTTGGACCCAAACTGAAATGGGAGCAGCACACATCAAAAATGAGAATCCTAGCCCGGCCAACAGGGCTCAGTGGTTGAGCGTTGACCTATGAACCAAGAGGTCAGGGTTCGATTCCTGGTCAGGGCACATGCCCCAGTTTCGGGCTCCATCCCCAGCAGGGGGCGTGCAGGAGGCAGCCNACGCAAAGGCAACTCGGAGGAGAAAAGTGCACACCCGGACCAGAAAACCAATTTTTTTTTTTTTAAAGAACATATGGAATATTGGATGTGTGGGTAGGAGTGAAAGAAGAAACCAAAAAAAGTAATTCATATGGATAAATGCCCACACGTAGAAAAAAGTCTTGGTCTGATTCCAGTTTGAACACTGTCCCGAGGACTGCGGCATGCTTACCAGTCCACCCGTGTGCATTCCTGTCCGACTTTCTGGTCCCGTGTCAGGGTGTCAACTGGGCTGTGAAGACCTTCTTTGCTCTCCAGCCACGGTCCTTGGCACACACTAGGTCCTCGGGAAATGTTACTCCATGCACAACCCACTCACTCATTTAAAGTCTGATCTTTGGGAAGTGGGAGAAGACCGATGAAGGCTTTTGGCAACACACCTCATCGACAGTCTTCGGGGCCATGAACAGATGCCTGATGAATTTCAAATTTAACTGTTTAATCTTCTAAAACTTTTCTGATTTCTTCCATAGATTTCAGTGCAGTTTGCCTACCTAAGAGAGCTCATCCTGCTTCTTAAAGCAGATGATTTTAGAGTTAAAAGAATGTCTTCAACTATGGCTCCCTCAAAAGGAGATTTTGATTTGGTCATACTGACATGAATGCTTAGTTTAAAAAGTAGATATGCAGCCTTCAGCACTCCCAAAGGGGAAGTGATCCCTGAGTCCTGGATGAGAGCAGACATTTCCTGTAGTGAAGTCCTTTTTAGAGGCTAAGGGTTAGCAAAAGAAGATGCAGGTGCCCAATTTGGACCCAAACTGAAATGGGAGCAGCACACATCAAAAATGAGAATCCTAGCCCGGCCAACAGGGCTCAGTGGTTGAGCGTTGACCTATGAACCAAGAGGTCAGGGTTCGATTCCTGGTCAGGGCACATGCCCCAGTTTCGGGCTCCATCCCCAGCAGGGGGCGTGCAGGAGGCAGCCAATCAATGACTCTCTCATCACTGTTTCCATTTCTCTCTCCCCCCCTCTCCCTTCCTCTCTCTGAAATCAATAAAAAAATATATTTTAAAAAATGAGAATCCTACACAACAGTTGATTTTTACTCCGGAATCCTCCTGCAGCAAAAGATTTGTTGTCATTTACCCTGCCATAAAAACCTTATTCTCAATGGAGAAAAAGTAAAGCACAAAGCGAAATCTAAAATAGCTCTTGGGGATGTGGAAGGGGTGTGCCATTGTTGAAGAAAAATGACAACACTGAAAAATTTAAATTTCAGCAACACGCAAGAGTTGGGACAAAAGTGAAGGAGGAAAGATGCAGTAAAGGAAGGAGAAGAAAGTCAGGGAACCATGTATCTGGCCACCGCAATTACCTACGGCCAACTGCTCAAACTGTGCGGCTTGACCTTCCCACTTCAGATACGCCTGGGCCATACCAAGGCCCTGCTATCAAACTGCACATCGGTCCTGGATCAACTCAGCCCGGAGGTCCCTCTCCCAGGACACGCATGGAGGCAATGTACACCGATCCTCATCATGGATCTTCCCCAGAGACTTTTTATCACATTTTGTCAGTCTTGGACAGGTGTGGCCTTGTCTTAGCAGCACCTGCTTTTCTTGTGCCAAGATCTCTTGTATGAGAATTTTAAAGTAAATCTCTCTGTACAACACTAACACATACCCATTTCGTCAAGTCTTCCAAATGCCGCTGATCAAGTTTCACATGAGTTTATATGTAACTCCTTTCTGACAGCCTTTGATTTCCTTGCCTAACCTCATCTGCACTGCATTCCAATGGGGAATTTCTGACCCCCAGAAGGTTGTCTTGTTGGTACTTTGTAGACATTCAATGCAGACTTGCTGAACGAGTGGATTCTTAGAGGAGCAAGACGTAAGCAGTTTAATGGACATGAGGGATGGGTGGCAGGACTTCTCTTGAACTAAACAAAGAAAGGGAGGTGAAATATTTTCATGTGCTTAGAAACAGAGAAGTGGAATGAGGCACACAGTTTTTAAACAAATTTATTCTAACAATACAGTTTTGATTTTGATTGATAGACAATACAGGTTTAATGCAGTGAGGCTGGCATCTACGTGTTAAATACTTCTATTCACAAAAGGGGGTTAGATTTTCAAGGACTCGTGCAGAATGCTGTTCTTACATTTTTAATATACTGCTATAAACACTCAAGCCAATATTTACTATGGGAGAAGGGAAAATTTTAATTTTATAAAATGTCTAAACTTCTCCAGTATTTCTCTCAAGGATTATATTATCTTGGAGGAAAAATTTTAAAACTACCCTCAATATTGCCTTCCTATTAAATATATTTCAATGTTTCAAATTAGGTGGTAACTCATTACCTATTTTTGTATCTACCTACTAGTATTACATTTCTGTTGTTTGTATATATTTTTTCAGTGCTTACGTTTTTTTCTGGAATATAGGAATTTTACCTAATTTGCCTTTCAGAAGCACCACGGATATGATGCCTATTGTAGAAAAGATGAGGGAATAATCATCATTCTACTTAAATACATTTCTTGGAAATAGTTTCACGCTGGCTTTAAACCCATTTTGACCTTTGGCACTGAACTTTAAAGGCCTATTCGTATGAACTTCCCCTTTCCCCCCTTCATCCTCAGAGAGGAGTCACACATAAACTCAAGACACTTCCAAACTCACATTCTTCTCCTCTGACTCTGCCATACACAACCCTGAGAGAGAAAGACCTTTTCAAAGTTCCCTAGGGTAAGGGATCGCCAAAAGCAAGAATTATCATTTTCTCTCTTCCAGCAAGGGATTTCATTTTGTGCTTTAATTTCTGGCCTGTTGGCCCAGAATTTCAGATTTTAAAAATCTTTGCCACCAGCCTTCCAGAGGTCATCTAAAATTTTGTCTCTACCTCTACAATATATTTCACCCGTGTAGGTCTGGGGGAGGAAGAAAATACTGGGAACAGGGTTGGAGGCAAAAGTGTAAAGGACATACAGAAGTTTATGAAAGTTTTATATAACATCATAAAAGTTCTAGCACTTGGGCCTTTTTAGACATTGAGTCTGGAAAAGAGGAAAAAAATCATAGAATGACATGCTAAGGGCTTTGTTTGATCAAGTTCTTTCTGGAAAACTGTGGGTCAAAAAAAAAATAGAAATATCCAATTTAAAGTGTTTTCTAGTTCCAAATAATCTTCACTCCAGCAGTACTATTCTTGTGGCTCGTGGATTCCTTCTCTTTAGATAGGAAATGAACATATTTTTGGAATTGTGAGGAGGCGATACATAAAAAATATAAATTGTTCATATTAAAAGATTTGTTTTTAAAGGACATATCTGAAGTATTTATAGATGAAATCACACTTCCGGGATAAACATAACTGAGGTTGGGGGAAGAAATGAAGGAAAATGGGCAAAATACAGATGAAACAGGAATTGAGAAAATGTTATTTGTTGAAGCTGGGTAATGGGTATGTGGAGCTCAATATGCTAGCCGCTGTTTGCATAGATTTTCCTGTAATTTCAAAAGGTGGAAAGATTTCTGATAAATTAACAATATTATGTCCTTATAGCATGCATGCAATGAAGTCAGTATTAGTTTTAGCTCACTTATTAAGAACCATTTTATTTGCATATCCTACCTGAAAAGATTGTAACTAATACACGTAGGACCATAAAACCACATATATGTATATTCTGTCACTTTTTTTTTCTAACAGTATTTATATTCTTTGGTATGGAACCTCCACCCCCCAAACACATTTGACTCTCGGTAATTCAAAGGAGTATTTAAAAAAATGTAATTCATTAGGCAGACTAATTTCATAGAAAATCTTCCAGTGCTACATATTGAGTTAGCTATGAGAATTTAACTTATGGTGGTGTCTCCTGAAACAGCTTACCCCTAATGCATCATGCCTTATGTGTTTATTTCAAAGAAAGTTATACTTAGCATCTTTTCAATATACTTAAACATATCTGCCCTAAAGTTGAAATAAAAATAAAATCGATTAGCATTTAATGAGCATCTCTGTTATAGGCCCTATGCCAACATATTTGTGTGTATTCTTTGCATCTCAGCAATGGTGTGAGGAAATATTATCAACATTATTTAGATGAGTGAAGTGTGGTTCAGAGAGGTCAAAAAACCCAGCGGTAAGTCAGTGGAGCCAGAATTTGAAGCCAAGTCTGTCTGAATGAAAAACCTGTTTGATATAATTATAATAATTATGTACTGATAGTCTGTGTGTGTTGTTCCAAAGGACAGAAAACCATACTCAGGGTCCCGAGGTTCAAAAACACTGTTTTCAGCAAATCTGAGGTCTGAGTTTATAGTTTAGGTTATAGCTTAGGTTTAGTCTTAATATGATTTGCTTAAGTTGTTACACTTCAGGGAAAGATGGTCTGTCCAGGTCACACTTTTCCCAGGGAGGCGCCTCAAAGATTCCTGTCCTGAGGAGCAGAGTGAAGCTTATCTTCTTTCTTCTGCTGGCTGACCCTGCTCCACACTTCAGGGAAAAGCAAGTGAGGCTGCTCAAATGGTAACTCTCAGACCAGCAGTTTAGGGGAGACCATCATTTGACAATCTGAACCAGCTGCTTTTACGAAAGCATGTCCTCTACTGTTTTTAGTGGGCATTGTATATTGAAGGCACACACTCCATGGCCAGTAGTGTGAACATAAAGAAATATATTTGAATATCTTTAAAATATTTCAAATTTTTATTAAATATTTTTATTCAGTTTTAAGATCACAGTTAAAGTACTTTAGCATGTTATACACATGACTTACATGTGCAATTTTTAGAAATATCAAATTAAGTATAAGATTTTGAAGAAAGAAATTATATAAATGTGTATATTGACTTTTACTACACATACATCTAGGAAAGCAATAATTCTGTTGTACCATTAAGTAGAAATCATTTATTACATGGCATGTTTACATCAACTCTAAAGAGAACCGAGCCAATTTCTGAAAGCAAAAAAGAAAAAGAAAAAAAGAAAAATAAAGAAAATGAGTGATTCGGTCATGCTGAAACTGTCAACAGACTTAAGATCTGGTGGTCAAATGAAGCTGTGGTTAATTTATGACAAATAAGCAATGCAAACCTATGAGAAAAGCTCATAATCTGGTGTGTGGAATCTCAGGTGGTTTTTATTCTTTTTTTGATAAATTCCTGAGAGCAAGAGACATGTTTAGCGCTAATGAAACGAGAAACGTTGCTGAGCATGTGCTGAGCTCCAGATCATGAACCTTCCCCGCCCCCGGTCCTGCGGCTCAGAGCCGGAGGCACTGACACCAGGCGTCGGGGACATGAGCCAGCCCACTGGGGGCCACAAAGAGAGCTACGTTAGTCTGTGAAGCATGCGCGCCTCTGATTTAGAGCTTGTGAGGTAAGATCTGCGGTGTGGGTGGGAGGGTTTGGAGGCATTGAACTAGGTTCTTGTTACTCAGTAACCAGTTCTGACCTAAGTTATTAGGAAATCTTTGGAAGTAGTAGTTATGTTCACAACAACTAACTCTGTGCATAAAAATCAATTTGAGGGCAGGATCAGTTTTGACCACTGACTGCAACAAGTAAACAGTGGCCAAGAAACTTTTAAGTACAAGGTTTCCTCTTTTAATTTATTAGTATAAATCATACCACCACACATAAAATTTGGCCAGGAGAGGAAACATTTTTTTTTTTTTTTTTAAGAAAAGGTATATTTATATTTTTTAAAGAAAAGCATAGCACAAACAGATGGAGGCATATGACAGAATCAGATATTTGTCTTGATTTACTCTTTTGTTGCTTCTTGGTTCTGAAATGTAAGGAAGATAATATAATGTCCCCCCTGAAAAGGACAAGGTCATTTATTATGTTGTATAATAAACTCAGCTATCACTTCCAAACTAAAGCAAAGCAGTCCACCCAGTCCTGAAGCCTTCACCAGAAGCATCTGGTAAGCGGAACTGAACAAACGGTTTCTTTTTTAAGTACAATGTTAGGAATCTAAGTAAGATAATTTTTAAGAATGCCGAAACTCAAACACAAACTCCAAGTCTAATTCTTTGGGAATGCTTGTATAAATAAAAGCAACATCGAATGAACCATTAGGACACTCTTTGTAAGGTGCAAAACAGGTCCTACGTGGGGCAAGCTAAAGTTTAATTTCCATCTAGCAGTCGCTCTGAATACTTTATAGGTCAAATGTAATAACAGCATTTGCTTCTGCTGCCCACTTTCGGCAAATACATTGTTTTCTCTGGAGAAGGCGGTTTGTGAAGTCAAAACACTGCAGTGGAAAATAGTGGCACTGACGGTAGAAGCAAAACAAGACAAACCTTTGAAACAGGACTTAACTGAAATGAGCTCTTAAAGCCGAGGTAGCCCATTAGAATTGGCCTTATCTGAGGGCTCTGTGGAGCAGTGCAATCAAGGAGGGGCTCTTCCCCGGCATCACATACACCCCCACGATCCCTTTCCGACCGAGGCCTCCGGGCCCCTGCGGCTCCCTTCCTTCCTCCCGGGGAGCGCGGGCGCTTCTCCGGGTGCAGGTGCCGGCTCGGGCCTCCAGCCGCTGGTCTCCAGAACACTTGGGATTCATACAGTAGTTTAGCAGGCAGCATGGTCCCACTGCTTCACATTAATGCCAAATGCCAAACTTGGAACAGAGCTATTGGATAATCCCATCCCTCCCTCCCCCACGCATACTGTATAAACAAAAGATGGCATTCAGTTTGCAGCTTCCTCCCGGTTCTCTATCAATTTAAAATTTGCTCGAGTTTTTACATAGGTGCAAACACTGTCATACGATGAGCCAAAGACTGCAGAGTGCAAACAAAATTTTACATGACTCAGGCGGAGTGGCATCTGACTTAACAAGGAAATGACAGGACCAGCCAGACTTGTTCGTAGTGTTCCATCACTTTTTTTCCTGCAGCAGTTTTAATGGCAGGAACTAGAATATCAATGATAACGTGGGAATGATGTCAGCATTTCGGCTTTGAGATGACCTTGGTAGAAAGCTCATCTGACAGAGTTAAATAAATATATTTGATAGAAGTCTGTCAGAATTACAACAGTATGATTTATCCTTTAAAAGGGGTTTGACTGAATTAACACTTTGGATAGAAAAGCCTCATGTGGGGACAGAACCTGTATCTTCGAAGTGGCGGTGGGACACTTTTCCTCTTCCTGACCTCATTACAGTATCCAAACAAACACAAACTTTAAAAGGGTGTCTTACAGTATTTTTTTTTCACTCAGCTTCTTCGAGCTGCAGCTTCAGTTACTATAATATACTCTAAACACTTCAAAATTACATAGGAAATACCCAGAATAACTAAATAAATAAGAGGCTAAAGGAAACTGGAACAGTACTGTGTCTCCATCAGAGACTAAACTATCCACTTCCAGCATCACAGAGAAGGGCTAGGACAACGTTTTTCAAAAGATTTATATACAGGTTTGAATCCAGAAATTAAGGTTAAAAGTATAAATATTGATAATTTCAACTAAGTTCAGAATGGTTTCAGAAAGATATGATACAACAATTTAGAATAAAACAGAGCAGAAGAGCATCATATTTTGGTTTGCTTGAGATATACATAAGGTGCAACAACTTTTTCTCTTGAGGATGCCTGTGGGACAAATGTTAGTGTAAATGGTGCTTGCTGGCAGATTAAGGTACAAACTATAGCGATACGATTTTCCAAAATAAAGAAGAATGAGAGAAATGAAATGAAAATGATAAATGGGGGGGGGGGACACTACATGTTGGTCTGAAATATTTGTGCTAACAAATGTTGTTACCTGAAAATACCAACACCCCTTTCCAGCAGATTCAGGGCATGAGAAAAGCACTATTATTGAAATTAAGACTTGCACTCAGAGAAACGACAAGGCGAGTGTCTAGAGAACTATAAAGCTTTGCAGGATTTCTGCTACTCTCAGTGCCTAACCGCTTAAAAATTAAGCATTTCTACAAAAAGGTTTTTTTTTTTTAAAACAGTCATATCCAGTAGCTTGCCCTCCTGCTCCCACCCTGCCCAAGGGAAAAGCCACTGAGGTTTATTTAGGGAAAGCAGATCAAGTAAGATAGTAATCGCATAGAAAAAAGCAATCTTTTGTTTGCTTCTTTTTACAAAAAGGTCCCATGAATATACAGCAATCTCTTGAGGAACTCTACTGAAATGTAATCGGAGGACTGAAGGAGGGTGCTCTGGCAAAAATAGATCTATTCTAACGTGTTCTACAGAATAACAAGTTAGTACCATTGTCAAGGTGCATGTTCTGCACCGTACAATTTTTGTTGTTGGTTTGTTTTTTGGATTTTAGCTAATAATAATTTTAAAATCACTGCTAGCAAGTGGTCCAAAAACTCCCAACAGCCACCAACACTGGGACCCAGCAATTTCCAAACATTCAATTTGTGTTTTGAGATTTAGAAAATGTTAATAAAACAGCATCATAGTAAAAACATTAGGCTGAAATCTGGGGCTGCTCACCTGATTTATTTCTATGTGACTGGGGTTAAGCTTTCACCTCTGATTAACCTTGCTTACGAATTCCTTCTCCCTCCATACACACGGTGAGTATGCATCTTTGAGAATATCACACCACTGCTCTGTTGCCCTCTTTACCTGCTTTGAAAGAAAACCTCTCTCTATTCTTCAATTCTGTTAGCATGTTGTACATATTTTCCAGCACCGAAACTGAAGTAATATCTACAACCATGAAAAGCTAAACCTAGTCAGGACAAATAGAGTCATTTTTTTAATATGGCTATTAGGTCAAATTACAATTAGAAAAAAATCATCATTACAATTCAGTCAAGTATAAATAAGAAAGCTAGATAAAACCTGTAAACTGTCACCACTTAGAGATCTAATTCAAAAGCTTCAAACCTGAACTAATACTATCAAAATCCTGCCAATAAAACCAATAAAAATTATTGCTGGAATCCAATCATTGAAATTTGGTAGTTTGTGCTGTGATGCAAGAGTGGGGAGATACTTTGTGCTATGGAAGAAATACCCTGTAAAATCTGTAGCCTCTGACTAATTTTGATTTATCACTTTGCATCTGTTGCTAGGAAACAAGACACTGAACATCAGGTGGTTAAGTCAATATGTTGAATGTTCTAAGCCAGTTAATCCACTCGGCACTGGCATATGTATGGTGGGTTTTATGTTCAAAAGCAACAAAACACAAAAAGGAAACAGAAACTTGCAGGTGGCCCTTTGACTGAGAGTCCCACTCCGGTCAGGCATACCTCCCATGTCATTTACTCAATACCTCCTTAACAACACAAACTTGAAATGGCTCTAAAAACCTGCAGTGCCCATGAGGCTGTGCATAGCAATTGCTACCCGTCCAGTCTGTCTGGGATGATGGAAAAGGTCTGTGGCTCCAAGTCCACGTGGAGTGAGTGTCTTCAATGTGTTCAGAATAGTGAAGTAATAAGTAATAATACTAAGGTCACTTCTGAATAATATTTTTCTCTATTTTTTTGTTTGTTTGTATGAACGATCCATTGGTCACTTAGACCCCTGTGTAAAAATAAAAGAATCCTCAAGGCATGAAAACATCAGTAATCTGTAATCTGCAGGACTCTTCCCTCGTCTGGGAAAATATCTGCCACAATTTGCCCCAAGCAAATTATTCTTGGTCACTCAAGGCTAAGAAAAAAATTCAGCTTGTAAGAATTGTAATTTTTTTTCTCTTTTTTTTGCCAGCAAACTACCACTCTGGTGGCAAATATAAAAGTGCAGAATATATGGACCACGAGGCCGAGCATACACCGCTAACAATGGTACATCTGCCTGCCCGCGCTGCATGGGAGTCTCGGAACAGGCTTTTTAATATTATTCTACAATATAAATGTAGGTATAACCTATTATATAAACCATCTTAGAACTTAAATCTCCATGTACAAAAAAGACTAAGAATATCTAATAATAACTAGTGCAGTGCGTCAGTTTTTGTTTTTTTGTTTTTTGTTTTTGTTTTGAAAGAATAACTAGGTAATATACGAAACTAGTTTCACACTCTCTGTTGGTAGAAGAGATGCTGGATGAGCTACAGTAAAGGCAGCCTTTTACCAAGTGACCACCTCTTACCGTCAACAGCCTTCAATGATCCCCCAGGATCATTCCATTTCTGCTCATTATCAGACAGAGAACATAACCCACAGAGACTCCGGGTTTCGAACGAACAAATGGGCCCAGGAGGCTAATTTCTGCTTCAAGTGAATCTGGGCCGTGTAGGGCAACAAGCACTTGTTTGCAGTCTATATTTCCCACCACATGGACTCACTAGCATCCCTCGGTAAAGACAAGGCTAGGGTAGTAGGTAAAGCACAAAGTTTTACAATGAAAGGGCGCTTCACTGGTCAGCGCAGGAAATAAGTACAGGAGCCTGTGGCATTTCTTTTGGCTGTCCATCGTGGGTGAGCGGAGTAGATCTCTGACCTCTGTGAAAGAAGAGAAAGGAAAAAAAAGAAATCCCTTATTCAGGGTATATTATCAGAAATAGGAGAGGATGATGCATAACACATAGCCTGCCAATAACTTGTTTAATAGCTACGGCTGACTTCTTACTTACGCTGTTTAATTAAAATCAATTTTGTCCTTAGAACTTCTTTCCTTTTTTTTTAAAGAATTTCTTACCTCAATTCCCCTCACACAACTCAACAACACAGTGTGTACCCCACTGACCACCTCCATTTTGTAGAACCTGAAGCAACAACACATTTGGGAAATTCCCTAAGAATTGGGAACCTTTAAGTCAAGGGTTGAGGTTCTGGAACAATCATCTTCCTCTAGAGTCACCGAAATTATAAAGATGACACACTCCTTTCCTTGACTTGCCTGAGGGGAAAACTTTCCTATCCTAGTTGATAACTGCCAGGCTCATTTCTTAAGTTGTGTAATAATAAACCAAATTTAGAACGTAAGGCCAATAAAGGCAGTGGTGCCTGAAGAGAAAGAGGTGTACTGTGACTCAAAAAATAAGTGAAAACATCAAAACCCTCCTAACTTAAGTTTCACAGGCATATGGACAGAGGGTGTATAGGGGAAAAAGGCAAGTACCGACTAAATTTTAGTGTGAGAAAATCCAGTTCATTTGGGCCCAAACCAACACACATGGGGAGAGAATTCTAGGCAAGAATAGAAAATTCACGGAAATTCCCATCATCTGGATTGGAACTACACCTAACATAGCTGATTCCTCCCCTCCCTACAGCGTTTAACGAGTAGGACAAAATACAATTTATTTCACAGTTATAATAAAACTGTTCAAAATACTTGGTAATTTCTACAGAGCTTCTCATTCTAAAAAGATAGGCTTGGGCACCTCCTTGACATTTCCCAACAGGCCTCCCAAGCCTGCAGGCTGCCCACCTGCTGCTCTGGCCTGCGATGGTCTGCAGCACACAGCACAGAGCTGAAAGTATGTGCTGGAGCAGCAGTGGTTTTTGTTGGTTTGAAGGTTTCAATACAGTATCTTCTTCAGATTACATAGAACAAAAGGTGCTATTTTAAAACTCAAATTATATCTGCTCCATAACTATATCCTCTCTCTTGATGAACAGAAAAGAAAAACAATGTAGATAAAGGACAACATTTGGGGATGTCAGAATCCAATGATCACTTAGCCTAAGATATTAGGATTTCAGAAAAACAAAACGTGTGTTACAACCAAACTTCTGGATTAATCTGTTTGTTCATGTGGGGATGCCGTAAGCACCAACTGTTCAATACGTTCAACCCTGTTCAAGAAAGATGAAATTAAAATGGTATTATTTACCTTTAAGACTGAATATATAGTAATATTATAAAGCCAAAAGAATTTAATAAGTATGAGAAAAGGAAACAAAGAGAAAAAAGACAGGAAAGTAAAAAATGAGAAGGAAAATGTAAAAAAAAAAAAAGGAGGAAACGAGGAGCAGAAATTGGGGTGAAAGCCCAGCTTAATCAATGGGAAAGGCAGGCAGGAGCATGATGGGAGAGAAAGGTGTGGCTGCAACTAATGACGGTTCCAGTTCCCCGTGGAGGGTCAGGAGATCCTTCTTGATTTTCCGGGACGTGAGAGATGCCTGCGACAGCAGCGCCGTGGAGCAAAGGTAGACGCTGGAGTTCAAGGACCTGGGTCCAAACCTTAACTCGGTTTGGCGGCATGATCCTGGCAAGTTAATTCACCATTTGGTCCAACATTAAAATGGGACTAAAAAGACCCACCTGGCAGGGTTGATTTTAGGATTACGTTTAATGAACTTTCCTCCTTATAAAACTCCTCGTAAAGGAACAGGCTCTCAACAAAGGTTTAATTAAACATCCTGTTTCCTGAGTTTTGTAGAACTGCCTTTTTACACTGGGTTTTCGAACCTAATGTTAAGATTTCTTGTGGCAAGAATGCCGGTAATAGCAGGTAGCATATTTCTACCCCTAGCTCTGCTGACCACCCTCTAAATGCCTAAGCAATAATTAATTGATGGGCAACCAGGTACAATTACATGAAGTCTATAGGTAGAGGGCGGCCTGGTAGCTCTCCTTTCACAAGTAGGGGCTAAAGTTACAACTAAGAGGCCCTGGGGGGGAACTGTCTTTCTAGATAGTAAGAACACTAACCATTTGCTAAACTGATAATAAAATTTTAGTGAGCAATATTGTTCTTCTAATGGGAGGTAAAAACAAAACAAAAAAAAACCCCTTACTTACACCACTTTTTCTATGCTGCTAGCTAACTCAGGCAGGCATAATTCAAGAACACCTCACTTATTCATTCACCCATTCATCCACTATTGTGCCAGGGACTAAGGAAGCTGGGGACATGGAGAATAAAACCAGTGCTTTTTCCCCCCCAAATACACTGGAGGAGACAGAAGCATGAACAAATAGTTACAAATCAAAGTGGCGGCTGGCCTGTGAGAGGTGTATAAGGAGTACAGAGACTTCAGGGGGAGTGAGAGAAGGCAAAGAACGAGGGTTGGAGGAGCACAGGCCCGCCGGAGAGGAGGAGAAACGGAGGCAAGAAAGAACGTGGCTCATCTGGGCAGGAGCGAGCAACCCCAGCTGGCTGCAGGGCAGGGAAGAGGGCATGGTGGTGGTGAGAGTGGGATGGCTTGCTCGGGAGCTTTGCCACTGGACACCAGAAGTTGTGGGCAGCCAGTTAACGCAGCAATGGTGTGACCACAGGCACGTACAGGAGAAAACGCTGTCAACAGCAAGGGGACTGTGTAGTAGCCTTTTGAGCCCTGAATTATGATCCCCTCCTCCCCACCCCCAATCCTTACTGCTCAGGCACATGCTTGATTCTGTCTGTCTGTGAGTTTGTCCTCTGGGTTCGAGTGTGAAACGCCGTGAGTGGAAAAGTGTCTGTGCAATCCTCTCCCTCAGAGCCTGAGCAGGTTTAACAATGTCAGCATTCGTGTGCTGTTAGGCACTTGCAGTGCACACATGAAAAGAAATTGGACCTGTTGGAAATACCTAGAGGCTATTTGTGAGGCAGGACTGGGACTGTAACGTGACAGGTAAAGAGCAAGAAGCAAACAAAGCTCCTGTCTGGGCCTCCTAAACCTGACGTGAACAAGGGAGTGGAGCCTGCCAGGCGGGCATATAAGTCGTCCTTGATTCCAAGCTCTTTTGTACTGAAGACTGAAAGGCTAAGAAGTGGCTCATCTGTGGGTAATCCACTCTGAATAAAAATATGAAATACCCGAATTTACAAAAGGCGTTTTTGCTTCCCCAAGGATCCATTAAGTAGCAGAAGACTCAATCATGCATTTAGAAGTTAATACGCTTTCTGGGGGGCTTTACTGAGTTCAAAAGGCGTCCATGTCTATGATCTAGGCTGATCCTTACAACCAGGTGATTCTTTGGGAACAGCACTGTGCTCAATGCAGGATGAGAACACTGAATCCCAGAGAAGTCAATTACTCTGTAAAAAACACAGAGTGGAAGATAAATCAGATAAATCCAGACCTCCTGCCTGCCCTGAGTCGGACACCAAGGTGCTCTTTTCCTACACCAACACTATCTTCTCCTGCTGGTACCACTACTGCCACCGACACCATCCTCAGGGGGGTGTTTACCACCTGCTAGCACTGCGACATGACATTTATTCCACATAACGTCTATGGAAAGAGTACCACTTACACACATTTTATAGGAGGAAAACAGAGGGTAGAGAGGTGAATGACCTTGCTCAAGACCTTGCAGACTGCAGGTGACAGAGCTTGGACTCAAACCCAGGTCTGAGGCCTGACTCCAAATCCCATGCTTAGTGATTAGAGAATGCCGCTGCTTTGCTCTCTCAGGCTTTTTACAGAAATGAAAGTTTAGCCACAGAGTAATATGTTCAAAATAAAACAGTTGCCTGACTATATCCTCTCATATTTTCCCACACTGCTAATTAGCACATGCACTCTGTAACCTCACATAAATATCCCAAGTCTTATGTACCCACAACGCATTGTGAAACATATACAAATGACATCAGAAAAGCTGACTGTCTTCCATGCTGCTTTCTCCACCCCTGCTCTGTGAAAGGGATGACATTGAACCGGGTCCCCAGCACCCTGGGGAACGAGGCTTCCCACCACTAACCTGTGCACGTTTTCCATGGCGGCCACTTCGGCCAGCGCGGCCAGGCTGAAGAAGGCAGACACGGCGGGCATCTCGGGGGTGCTGCTCCGCGTCTCGGCGGCCTCGCGGCTGTGCGCGCACTCGTCATGGCAGCCTGTCTCGGTGACTTTAGGGAGACTCCTGTGCAGTTGTTCCTTTGGTTTGTCATCTGTAACGAGAGGGAAATCCATCAGGAGAGGCTCCCTCTGTTCTCTCAAGAGAAAACTCTGTGCCAGACCATGTGGCATGAGTCCACATTCTTTACTGTTCACTCTTGACATCCATTGAATATTAAGGCTTTTATAGAATCTCTTCTTCCACGGTCACAAAACTCTTTTATTAAGCTCGACCGCAGTGTCCTGAAGCTGAGCAGAGCAGCTGTGCTTTGTTCAAGGTCAAAGAACAGGTCAGTCTTGGAGAAGGAAAAATGGGCTTGGCCAAAATAAAACCCAAGGGACTTCTGCAGGGGGGCCTGTGGGTGCTGTAAAGGGTCCTTAAAACCCTGACCGACCAAACGATTCTGATGCAGCCGCAGCTGCCCTACCTACTGGGACACTCAGTGTGCTGTGACGCCAATACTTCCAGGGCGACACTAACCCAATGAGATCCCAAGCTGTCAGTTTTGTTCTGAAGACCTACTGAGAGGAAGATGAAGATGAAGAGCCAGTGTGCCTGTTGGAAATGGGTCTGCTGTCTTTATCATGTAGCCACGCTAGAAGGGCAGGTTTTAAAAACATTTCAACTACAGAAAATAATTGATAAAGGCAGTAAATGTCATATGTTAAGTGAACATGAAAGTGCTGTGTGCTTTCCTACAAGAAAGAGTATTTTCTAAAATCTTTCACTCTTCCTATGAGTGAAAATGAGGCCATAACAATTTACAAAATGAAAATCACAGAACAGAGCCCACAGTGGACAGGAAACAAGGGCCTGCTGGGCTAAATATTAGGAAAACTAGGTTCTAGTCTTCATTGGGCTTCTGTTTAGTAGTTCAAAGCATTCAAAACAAAATTGTACCCCTTTGAGCTTCATCTCTTATATGACAGGGTAAGACTGGGGATCTTTATTATGCTTTATGGTTCTAACAATTTACATATTATGCAAAACAAGTGCACAAAATTTACTAATCGTCCTCTAATTCTACCTCAGCAAACAATGAATCTCAACGACTAGATTAACCTAAATCAGATATTTATAAATCTTACTCTCAAAAAAACATTCATTTAAACATTTTTTTTCCTATTTATAGAATTTATTATGGACTTTGATTTTTTTCTGGATTAGGGTGGGGATAGGGACACTTCCTTCAGGGCTCACAGAATGAGATGCAAGAGGTGATAAAAGGTAGACAGGCAACAGCTAAGACCACTAATGCTGAGTTGGCTTAGCACCGCCAAGATGGTGGAGAAGTTCACTGTAGGTTAAGAGTTGGTTAAAGATTAGCCCAGAGAACTAGAGAAATCCAGAAGCATTCTCAAGTTCCCTGGGTGGTCTGAGTCAGCTTTACAGAAGTGCTGGGTGCTTCCAAAGGTGCCGTAATTCATTGGTTTAAATGCCTGGTAACCTGGCTTGAAGTGACTTGAGCTGTAAGCCATGGAGAAATACTGATTCATCTGGTATTTTTAAAAGCCTAGGATCTTTGGGAATTTAATCAAGACTGTTTTTGTGCATGCTGAGAAAAGAAAGGAGAAGCTGACAGTCCTAAAAATTACATTTCCTTCCTAGGAATTCAAGATATGTTTTTGGGAAAAGAGCTATGATTTTAAAACATGGATTAAAACACGTACATTAGAGAGTCTGTAGAAAACTAGTTCTCAAGGAGATCCAGAAAGAGAAAATGTTTCTGTGACCAAACCCACAGAACAGACCTATTTGTTAGTGAGGACCCACAGTGGGCGTATAGTCATTTGCTGGCCCAAGTAGCCATGAGGGTCAGCTGCTTGGTCTGGTTATCTGTGTCTAAAGCTCCCTCTTCTTACCCAAAGTACCTCCTGCTGGTGACACCCGGCCATCTGCTGTCCTGACCAGGTGTGTGATCTTGGTTTTCCTTGCTTTTCTCTTTTGGCTGCCCACCAGGGGTTCTTGCGTTGCTGTTGGCTCTGGAGTGTTGGGAATGGATGGGGTATTTTTAACCTTATGAGCAGGCTCTGTGGTGTTTTTGTCTTCTGTAAATATGGCTGAAATAGGACAAACCATATATAGTTACACACAAAAACAAAAGGCACCAACATTGCTCTCGGAAGGACACATTTCTCAATGTCTGACTCATCTGAATGGAGAACTTACATTCAGATTTTTTTAAAGTATTGATGGGGAAAATAAAGCAATGCCCGTAATCTTAAACAAATATATTTCTGTTTGCTTTGAGAGATTAAGTACAGAGGATTAAGATGTCTTTTCTCTCTCTCTCTCTCTCAACAGAATACTGAACACCAAGAGGCCAATGAAGTAACATTTTCTACATGTTTGGATCTTGTAGATTGGTGGAGAAGAAAGTGTAAATCTGTGTCAACTGTGTCCCAATTGACCACAATTTCTACATGTGATCAGAGTCCCTATCTGAGATCCCTGTGGCCAGCTGGTCTGAAGAGGATGATAAATTTCTCTTCTTCGGAGGACACTAAGATTAAACATGTGCTTCTTAAAGTTATAGTTATCCCTGGGACATCCGCTTTCAATGACCAAGCTGGACTGATCAGAAAAAGAAGCCCTCAGTGAGGGCTGACCTTCTCGCCGAAGGCTCGGCAAGGATATGACACACACTGGTGAAGCCAGCTCGCAGAGACACTCTCCTACTGGCTAAATTCCAGGGCCAGGTGAAGGTGCTTAGTGAGATAATTTAATGAGATGCCATATGTCAGAAGGGCTCCTTGGAAAGCTTAGTTTTAGGTCCCTAATTCTGATTGGATTATCAGTAAATCATTTAATAGCACCTGCTTATATCCTAAATACCACAGTCAAGAGCAAGGAACACGTCTGCCACCAAAGACTTGCTCCCAGTTCAAACATTTGGGAGTGCTTGTGTTTTTCTTATATACTCATTTCCTTAGGCGCTCCTCCATCTCCCTTTTCCCTTAATTTCATAATAAGACAAGAATATGCAGACATGAGTATAGTAAGCATTCAGAAGCACATGCATGTAGTCATGTTTCAGGACTGGGACTTTTTTATTCCAGTGGCTGAAGGTCTCTTGGGCAGGAAAGAGATGCATCTTTCCATTTTCTGACTATCCAATCTCTTAAGACAAGCACAGAAATTGTTTTGGACAAAGGAGAGGGGAGTATGGCTCAGGAAATCAAGGTCTGACGTGACAAACTCCACACAAACTAGACCTGGAGGGTAACTGCAGGCACTTATCAGAGGAGGGTGTGAAGGCAGACACTGGAAATAAGACAATATTTATGTAATGTAGGAAGTGAAAATCAGCTGTAATAGGCAAAGAACAGAGTGAGATAAGAATATAAAATAATGCAGTTTATATATAAATACTTGCATAGGCTCCATTCAAAATTTTTAATCTAGCTCCCTAAAGGGTTTAAACACATCCTTCAGAAAGGAGGGCTATGAATTTGTAAGATCTTTGCCCTCAAGAGGTTGATTCCAGGCTTCCCAATCCACAACAAGTGGGAAATAATTTCAATTACATCAAAAGAAAGGCTGTAAAGCAAAAATCATAACATAATTTAGGGCTTGGCCTTACCTCAATATTGCATAATAGATGGCTGTGTGAGGACAGGCTTAAGATAATCATTATTTTTAAAAAACCCACAGTATTTGGCAATGTTCCCAAACACCTTTTCAAGCAAATAATCAAAAGTTAGAAAAAAAGCTCCTTTTAAGTTGTAGATTTATCCTCAGGTCAAACAGTCAGCATATTTATACTTTGATATTTAGTATAAATACTAAATAGGCAGTGGTGGTATATATTTAATTTTTTTTTCCGGTCTGAACTTCAATANATACTAAATAGGCAGTGGTGGTATATATTTAATTTTTTTTTCCGGTCTGAACTTCAATAAAAGCAAAATCAAAGATACTTTGGTTAGAAACACTCCAATGATGTTTCATGACTGTGCATTCGCCTTGAAATTCAAAGCTTCCTCTGGGTTAGAGCCCAAATCTGAGTTCACAATGAGGATTAAAGAACCTCTACTGGATATTCACAAGCTTCATACTTTGTAATTTCGTATTCAGATCCATCAGTTGTCCCTCTGATTACAGGGGAATCTTACTTGCCTCTCCAGTAGGATCACTACATTATAGATGCACCTTCCAGAGAGAACATTTACCTCTTCTTCTTCCCAGAAAAATCCAGAACTTGTGGAAATAAGGGTATAGCAAGTTCCAAAGAGGAAGGGTATATTACATTAGAAGACCACTTATTGAAAGAAAAAGGAAAGAACCAGGGAGGTCAAAGAAGAGGCATGGACACCCAAAAAAGGGCCAAGTGGGCTGGGCATGATGACCTGGTTTCTACAGAAAGATCGTGGGGTGATGGAGGATTCCACTCATGACTTTTAAATTCACTAACTGTAGGACCGATGGTCTCAGTTTCTTCATGTGAAGATGGAGAATGGACTCAATTCATTCTGAAGGAGCCATCCAACCCTAAAATTCTTTTCATTTTGCCACAAGCCTAAAATCAGGGTCCTGATCAGGGAAAAGCAAGTCTGTAGCCTGCTCCAGAGGATCAAGGCTTGAAAAGAGTATTCCCTTAATAAAGTATATGAATATTGTCTAACCACTATGCTGTACACCTGAAACTAATACAAAATAATATTGAATGCAAACTGTAATTGAAAAAAATAATAATAAAGAGTCCTCCCTTGACTAGGACTGTTAGATTTTTTGTTCTTGGTGGGCTTTCAAATGGCTTCATTTCTATCCAATGCTTACTCCTTTTCCTGTGTGTTCCAGATGAATTGGTAAAAACACAATAAAAAGCCAAGGGATGGCTGCAAAGGGACTGCAATGGGAAGTACTTCTCAGGCCTAAAAGCACATCAGGATTAGGGGGAAGCTCAGAAACCAGCATACAAGGAGCCAGGGGGTCAAGGCAGGCCTGCTAACAGATACCAGTGATCACAAGTCCCAGAGGCTGTCTACTGGGAGATGGTAAAGGAGTGTGAATCAGGTTGTAGACTAAAAGGCAAAAAAAGAGAATATAATGCAAGTTCTCATAAATTCCCCAAAAGGAGGCAATGCCACCTCTCTGGATGTCACCTTCTCTAAGCCTCCTGTCAGATCTGAAAGTAACTTTGGGCCCTGAGGATTGTCTACATTTGAAAAGGGAGTGTAATGTGATCTTGCTAGAATGTGGAAAAAGCGTTAAGAGTGAGTCCTACCCCATGCTTTAACCCAGGTGTTAAGCTCAGAACATCTAGTCTTGTCTGGTGGCCTACGCAGACTTCAGGGTGAGCACTCTGGGAGAACCCTCCACAAGACCGAAGAATTGGGAAAGGCAGATAAGGCTAAGTCAAAGAAGTTGTTGTCTGGGACAGGACAGCAGACCTGAGTCCAGCAACATTAGCAAACAAAGGCTTGGTGGTAAGAGGCAGGAAACAGAAAAAGCTCAGGGAGGAAAAAAGCCCAAAGCTGAGTATCAAGAGAGCAGGCCCCTCCCTTTTTTTCCTTTCTGACAAACTAATGGAAATGTGAGAAAAGAAAGGCTTGTCGTCTAAAAACAAATTAAGTCATTTCTCTTTTGGCTTGTAATTGAACACACAAACCTACCCAAGCACTGCAAAACAAATCCATGGGGCTGGCTTTTCACTCCAAGAGCATCGTAACACACTTGGAGCGAATCATCTGAGAGAGATAATGGGAGCTCACTCCTGGAGCAGCATTAGGAATGTGGCAGTAACAGAATCATGTTTTCCACACTACTCTCAAAATGTGGAGTATATTTTTGGTATTGTACCCCAGGAGACCACTGGAGTGCTCCAGAGTCATGAATTCACATTCCAACTAGGGGAACCCAACTTGCACTGAAATCATTAGAGCCAAATCTGGAATCTCATTGCTTTTGGCTGGTCTCCCCTGAGCTGAAAAGGCAGCCGGCCGCTTGGAAGAGGAATCCAAGGAGTGAGCCCAATCTAGGGGTCGGAGACCGTGCTGCTTTGAACTGAGAAGAGAGATCAAGTCAGCCTGAGCGCTATGGCTCATGTTTGAAAATCCAACTATAAACCAAATTTTCTCTGCTGTAATTAGATGTATTGCAAATAAACTAATTTTATGAGATTCCTAGTCTGAGGTTTTGGGTTTTCTTTTCTTATAGGATACCATTTATAACTTCAACATCTGAGCCAAATAAGGACCATCTACAGAAATGCCTGAAAAATGGAAACTGTAGCACCCAATATGCTTTAGTGGAAAGACCACTGGTTCCTTCCCTTCCTGCTTCTGTTGGTCAGGCTTCAATTCCTTATCATGTATTTCGGGCTAATAAGCCCTCCTTACTTTACTGAGGCTGCTGTCAAGATTAGTTTTCGCAAAAAAAATGTGTAAAAGTCCTCTGGAAACTATAATGTAATATTAAGTATTAATTATCATCATCATTTTCATCATAATTAGAAACCTCTAGTTTAGGCATGAGCATGACACCATACTTGGTGGAAAGATAAAATGACAGAGGTAGGTTGTCTTGGTTTATCTGAAAATTTTGCCTTTAATTCTAGGCTCTAGGCAATCTTTACCTATGTTCTAAAAAAGTTTCAAGAAATGGTTTAGTGATTTTGAATTTTAAAAGCATTGGGGGAAATACTTAAAACAGATTATAAGCTTAGCATTTAAACCTCAGATATGATTACTAATCACCTAAAGGTTTCTGATATTTTGGGGGGGAAAAAATATATTTGCAATCCAATTATACTCAGGATGATGTAAAGAAAACGTAATGAACTTTAAGTGCTCCACTTTAACAGAAGTCAGGAACAGCTAGCAGCTGCATAGCCTCAGTGGCATCAACATTTCTATTACAGGTATCAGCATTTCAATTACAGACATCAGCTATACACAACTCCTGTCTAACCTCTGACTAGGGTGGCTTACACATACTACAATGATCCTGATTACGGTTTCATTTTCTTGTATTTTTAAACTCTCAAAAGTAAAGTTTTAATAAGCAGTGATGTGGCCACAGGTGAGAGGATGAAGTAAAGAGCTGAGATAATTTACAAAGTACACAGTTTACCCCCCAAACAAGTAAACGCAGGGGATGGTGTGAAAATAAGTAACAAGAAAAGAAAAGGTCACTTTAAATTACTGGTAATTTCCAGTGCTCAAACTGATTCCTTTTTCCCTGGCCACGTAAAATGAATTTGCCCTCTACACTACAAGGAGTGCCATTTCCAATGCATGTTCTCCAAAGTTTTGCCTCATATTCATTAATCATAAGTATAATTAAATATCACCAATAATAACTGTATTTCCAACTAAACCCTTGGGACTACCTAGAAGGCTCAAAATTGATGTACCTTTCTATCACCGAGAGGGCAGATAATTAGGACTTCTGAATTAACCTACTTTCAGCATCACGCCACCCACTCAAGATATCACAGTAATAAAATCAAGTGTTAGAGAGAAAATGAAATTTATGGTTCATGTATTACCGCAACTCATCATTTACCCCACCCCACTACATGCATCACATACATACATACACAGTCCCAACACGGACAGTGAATCCTAGTGAGGTTGACCAATCTGTCCTACTGAAACAAGCTCTGTAGAGGTGAATCTGAGACCAGCACCCAGGTTAACCCACTCCTACCTAATTCATTCTTTCTACTACACTGCACATGCTATGATAACCCATTTTATATGAGGTAGGCTTTTTATTGTTCAAAAAACAAAATGTTTAGACCAGCGTCATTTCAAAAAAGTACTGTGGTCTTAAATGCCTCTTTTAGATTCCTCATCAGTGCCTTATATCTATCAAATCTGTGCAGAATATACTTTTTAAATACACAGAGCTAATCTATATCAATTTTGGGATGTCAGGTTTAATGCTGAGAGTAGTGTAACAATTTATATTTTATTTTGCCAGCTTAAGTACAGAAATAATACTCCATAGAGGTTGTGATGTGAAGTAACAGGTCAGAAAACAGATCTGCTCCTGGCATTTTCTGTGAAAGTAAGTGGTGTAAAAGCACTCATGCGGCTCATGTGAACTGTACCAAACAAAAAATTTCATGTTTATAATGAACTCGATTTTGAACAGTTTTGATAAACATCTTTAAAACATGAGTATTTTTTGATAAATGATTTAGACTAAATGTGCATTTTAATTTTTTCTCCTTTTTAGTAAAAGAATGAGTGTGTATTTGGGAGAGTCCACAGACGTGGCTGCTCATTAAGTTCCCCTTTCTGGCCATAAGAGGTTGACCTGGATGACCACTAAGGTCCCTTCTGGTTTTCAAATTAATCAGCTCTTAATTAAGCACTACAAAAACAGTCAGTTATTTTAAATGATCTACAATGGAAAAAGCAAGTCAATGGGAAGAAGAAAGGATGGCTCCTTAGCCATCACAGAAATGAGCATTCACCTGAGGGTTCAGTATTTAACAGAAATTAGATAAAGTCACAAATAAACATGACTGTGCAAGATTCTGAAATAAAGTCTACACCTAGAACCTGTAACATACACTGGTCTTATACAGGCCCCTTTTTTGGCTATACATAAGCCCCAGAGACATTCCATTTAAACATATTTACAGGTACTGGGAGGTTGGTTAGAAAAGAAAGCTCAGGCCAGGATCCATTTCCACAGGCCTACGCATGCCCAGCCCACCAGGACAGCCCTCTGCTGCCCTATTCTAACTCCCTAAATATCTGCCTGCAACACGAACTGCAAAGCTAAATAGTTTTAGTTATGAAAAATCTGGTTAATGTGGCTCAAAGGTTACAAATCCCACTTTGACAAATTGAACTCCATATGACACATTCATTACCTGACCCTGAAGCAGGGTCAAAAATATATCAGTTTTGATTTGAAAATTTAAAATGACCCAATTATGAACACTCAGGTCTAATGCTGTTGGTTGAGCTCATATATATCCCACTTTTTAAAACCTATTAAAATTGTGCCATTTCCAGCACAGATGAGCTGAAACAATACAATGAATATTGCTTTTTATTTATTTTTTTTACCTTCTGTAGGGTGAATGGCATCCAAGAAGAACTGCTTGTTTGACCATTTATCCCCACTTCCTAAAAACAATGACAAAAAAGAAAAGTGAAACTTTACTCCTAGTATAGATATATGCACTACAAAAACAAGACAATCTACAAAATGACTTAAATAAAAAGCATTATCACACAAATAAAGCAGAATTTTATTTCAACTATTTAATTCTCAAAGTGGCATTTGCCAACTAAAATAGTTAGGGTATACAGGAAATGAATTAAATAAAAATAAACAAATTTATCTTTTATGAAATACATTGTTGGATGAATTCTATGACTTTAATCAAGAAAATCGGAAGATCAGCTAAAAGGAAATGATACAAGCTCATATTTTACCTAAAGAGTGATGTTTTTCCACTGGAGGCAGATTAAAAAACACACTAACATACAAAAGAAAACTAAGAGGCTGAGTGGAGGTGAAAATAAAGCCCAAACTAAGTCAGAGGTTACATACAGGAACACGCAGGCACATATGTCTACACATTGGAGACAGCTGCATTTGAAGCCTCCCCCAGAAAAAGGAGAGGCTTCACATCTGGCCATGCAAGTAGGATGCAGTGGGCATCAGATGGGCAGGCTCACGGCAGCCACAACACTGACATGCGGGGAGGTGCTAAAGAGCCTGACTCCAGGACACGCGGCTGTACTGAACGAAATGGGGAGATTTCTCTTTCATGTGAAAGAAGAGCGGGAGTCCTGAACTGTGAGAAGAAAAAAAACCTTAGATGAGCCCTGACGAGGTCCAAGGGCCCATCAAGATGGTAACAATGAGACTTAGGTCCAGAGTAAAGGAAGGGTAGAGTGCCGTACATCTCCAGTGCCCTCTGGAAATAACAGTGACGGGACTGAAGGAGGTAGAGAGAAGAGTGTGGCAAACGATGAAGTATATAGTTGGGGGGAAAAAGGGTGTCATGACTTAGGAGTGAAATCCTCCCCGACAAGAATCCTCAAGTGTCAGAGAAAGTAGAGAAACCGTGGGACTTTCATATGATTATGAAATTGGTACGGTTTCAGGTGGTCCTGGTGTGAATGAAGGCTCCCGAACATGAGAAAAAGAATTGTCAAAGAAAATAAGTGGATAAGAGCTCAAGAAAACTAAATTACAAAATGCATCAAAATACAGATGAGAAAAAGCAATTTTAGGTTTCACATGGAATTCTGAAAATAGAGACAAATATGCGATTTGAGTAGAAATCCAAGTGAAGGAGCTCTCTCTTTGCAATGAGCTGCAGAATTAGAAATCACGAATGTGCCTGCACCAGGAGCCGATGCCAGTGAAGCCAGCCAAGGGGAGGAAAAGGCAAAGCCAGTGCGCAGAAGCAGTGCTCAAAGATGAACTCGCAATGGAGGTGGCCGGGAAACCTTAATGGAGGATGGGAGGCGCCAATACCTTTTTCTGGAACATTAGGCTTCTCCTTTTTGTGCTTATATTTGCTGACAATTTTGTGGAATAAGTTCTTTTTCTGAGACTGGAAAGAACCTATAGACAATATTAATATAAATATATTTTAAATTCACAATGTTCCATAAAACAATACTGTGTGTTTCTAAATAATTACACCCTCCTCCCACGTGTGGAATAAGCAAACTGAGTCATAAGAAATGTCCCCTTGAGTTGTTACTCATTTAATGAGTGCTCAGTCTCCTTCTTTAGGCTTATATAAAACCCAGTGAAGTTTTCCTTCGAAATGTATTGGGCAGAAGCCTCCATTAGGGCTAGGACTCCCTCAGCAGAAACTAGAGATTTAGTAACTAGAGACAGACCATAACTAATAACAACAGAGTGGTTGTAGTCTGTAACAAAGAAAAGATTTTACTTTCGATTCCCAAATATCATGAAGAAAAGGACAGCAGGGGCATTCATCTCTCCTAAGAAACTGATTTTCACAACAAGGACAGAACTCTGAGGGTAACGGTTGGCCTGATAGCAATAGATAGCTCTCTACCCTTTTCTGAGGATATTCTAGGAAGAAAAAAGTGATTTAAAAATAGAAAAATATTTGCCAAAAATTTTTTTCCAGTGCAGGGAGAAGCCTCAGATCGTATCTTAGTTTTCTCAGATAGAGAAAACAGAAGTGAGATTTTTCAGTCACCAATCAGAAATGCCCACAAGAGCACTGACCCCCCCCCCAACGCAGGTTATTTCTATACTTTGTTGATATTCCTATGTGAAATGACTTAACCATTTAAATAACTTCTGCTTCCTCATCTTTAAATGGGAATAACAACAATGTCTAATTCATAGGCTTGATGTGAGGATTAAAAAGTTAGAAGCTCTGGACCCTGCCCCTGCTGCATCTACCCACCTACCAGCACATGCAACCACATGCTCTGCCTTCCAGAGGCAAATTATGCTTCTGTCTAAAGTGCACAATTCAATGATGTTATATCCACAGATTTTTGCAACCATCATCATTTTGGAGCATTTTTATCATCTCAAAAATAAATCCCATACCTTTAGCTATCACTCTTCCCTATAACTATATTCCCCCATCCCTAAGCAATCACTAGTCTACTTTCTCTCCATATATATTTTCTATTCTGGAAATTTCATATAAATGAAATAATACAATATGGTCTTTTGTATCTGTATTCTTTCACCTGGTATCATGCTTGCAAGGCTCATCCATGTTGTAGCATGTATCAGTAGTTCATTCCTTTTTGAATGATATTTAATGCTGAATAATATTTGAATAATATTTCATTATGTGGCTATAATACATTTTGTTTGTCAGTTGGTGGGCGTTTGAGTTGTTTCTACTTTTTGGCTATTATAAGTAATNTTTCATTATGTGGCTGTAATACATTTTGTTTGTCAGTTGGTGGGCGTTTGAGTTGTTTCTACTTTTNATATTTCATTATGTGGCTATAATACATTTTGTTTGTCAGTTGGTGGGCGTTTGAGTTGTTTCTACTTTTTGGCTATTATAAGTAATTCTATTATGAATATTCATATACAAGCTTTTGTGTGGATATGTGTTCATTTCTTTTAGACATACACCTAGGAGTGGAACTGCTAGGTCATAGTGTAACTGTATGTTTAATTTTTTGAGGAACTGTCAGACTGTCTAACATCCTCATTAACACATTCCACTAACACTTATCTGTCTTTTTGATTAAGGATATGGAGTGGTATCTCTCTCATTGTGGTTTTTATTTGCATTTTCCTGATGACTAATGATATCAAACATTTTTTCATGTGCTTATTGGCCATGCGTATACCTTCTGTAGGGAAACATCTATTCAAATAATTTTCCCAAATTAACTTTAAGATCACTTGTCAGTATCTCCACAAAAGTAAGCTAGGGTTCTAAAAGGGATTTCAGGCAGTGTGTCCATCTTAACAATATTAAATCTTCTGATCCACAAACCTGGGATGTTTTTCCATTGGATCATCTTTCTTTAAACAATGTTTTGCAGCTTTCAGTGTGTTGCATGTCTAAGTACTTTATTCTTTTCGATACTATTGTAAATGGAATTATTTTCTTAAGTTCATTTTTGGATTGTTCATTGCAAGTATATAAAAATACAGCTGGTTTTTGTATAATGATCTCGATTCCTATAACCCTGCTGAACTCATTTATTAGCTGTAATAGTTTTCTAGTGCAGTCCTTAAGTTTTCTACATAAAAGATTATGTCATCTGCAAACAGAGGTAGTTTTACTTCTTCTTTTCCATAATCTGGATGCCTTTTGCTTCTTTTTCTGGCCTAATGGCCCTGGCTAGAACTTCTACTACAATACTGAAGAGCAGTGGTGAGAATAGACAGCCCTGTCTTGTTCCCTGTCTTAGGGAAAATCATCCAGTCTGTTACCATTAAGAATGACGTTAGTTGTGATGTTTTTGTAGATGCCCTTTACCAGGCTGAGGAAGCTCTAGTCTACACCGAGTCTGCTGAGTGTCACTGTGAAAAGGTATTGGATTTTGTCAAATGCTTTTTTTCTATATCTACTGAGACGACCATGTCCCTTTTTTTGGAGGTGTTGTTCTATGAATATGGTATATTAATTGAATTCTAGACATTAAACCAACCCTGCACTGCATACAATTCTTCTTACATGTGGTTGGGTTTGGTTTGCTAGTTTTTTGTTAAAGATTTTTGTGTCCATATTTGTAAGAGATATTGGTCTGTAGTTTTTACTTGTGATGTCTACTTTTGACATTAGGGTAATACTGGCATTATAGAATGAGTTGGTAAGTGTTCCCTCCTCTTCTAATTTTTGGACGAGTTTGTGAAAAATGGTATTGATTCTTCTTTAAATCTTTGGTAGAATTCAATGGTAAAGTCATCCTGGTCTGGATTTTTTTTTCCCCCTGGGTACTTTTTTGATTACTAAATTCAATCTCTTTACTAGTTATAGGTTTAGTCAGATTGTCTATTTTTTCTTAAGTCAGTTTTAGTAGTTAGTGTCTTCCTAGGAATTGTCCACTTTATATAAATTATCTAATTTACTAGCATATAATTGTTCACAGTATTCCTCTGAGTCTTCTTTTTTTTTTCTTGGTGAGTTTAGATAAATGTTTCTCAAATATGTTGTTCTTTTTAAAGAACTGGCTATTGGTTTCGATTTTTCTTTATTTAATTAATGTCATTTCATTAATTTCCTCTCTTATCTTTATTATTTCCTTTCATCTACTTCCTTTAGGTTTAGTTTGCTTTTCTTTTTATAGTGTCTCAAGATAGAAGGTTAGGTTATTGACTTGAAATCTTTCTTAATATATGCATTTACAGCTGTAAGCTTCTCTCTAAGCATTACTTTAGCTATATCCCATAAATTTTGGTATGCTGTTTTCCTTCTTATTCATTTCAAAGTATTTTCTGATTTCCCAACTGATTTATTAATTTTTTCTTTAGCCTATTGGTAATTTAGGGTATGTTGTTTAATTTCCACATATTTGTGAGTTTCCAAATTTTTTTCTTGCTGTTGAATTTTAATTCCATTCCACTATGGTCAGAAGGTATGATCTGAATTATTTTGATCCTTTTAAATTTGTTTTATGGCCTCGAATATGTTGCATTCTGGAGACAGTTCCATGAGCACTTGAGAAGAATGTACATTCTATGGTTGGGTGAAATGTTCTCGACACAGAGAGAGCTGGTGTACAGAGTTCTTTTCCTTCCTTGCTGATCATTTGCCTAGTTGTTCTATCAAACCTATTCCTTTTTTTTATAGCACTTCTTACCTTCTAATACGTTATATACTTTGCTTATTGTTTAGACTTATCATCTGGTACCTCCAACAAAATGTAACCTCCATGTCAGCAGGGTTCTTTGTTTTCTATCACAATTATATTCTACAGATATATGCCTAGAATGGTGCTTAGCACACGCCTCATTCTCAATAATATTTGTTGATTCAATGAATAAGTAAAGCTCTTAAACCGCTTGGCACAAAGTTAAGAGTTCAAGACATGACAGCTGTTGCTGTTATTACCGATAACATAAAGTGTGGTCTTTGATGACTGCACCAAGCCATCCTTCTAAACAACAAATAGCAAATACTTCTGAACTGGTTGGTGGTGGTTTAAAATAGAAATAAAAAATTCCTTTTATTGGCTCTTGTTCCCCAGAAATAGTGAGCAACAAGGAAAATAAATTTAACAAATACAAAAATATACGTATCTTGTATACATACTGCACTAATAGGACAGATATCCTCTATAATCCGTTTGCAATCACTGCCTTGTGTATTTTATACAACCCAGGAAACTTCAGATTAGTGTACCTGAATGACAGACACATGGCAATCACAGAAAACAGAAGTAGAAAAAGAAGAAAAACCATTCTGAGACTTCTCAGGACCATAAGGATCCCAGTGATTTACCTGCGGGAAAATAGTTTAATAATAATAAGGAATTGCCTCACAGGGAGAATGATTTCTATATTTGTCATTCTGTATTTGTATAAGGACCATGGGAGAAGGCAGTAATTCACAGGAGCAAACTGCTGTGATATGTGGAAAGGGTTACACTAAAGAAGAAAGGGATACATATTTTCAGATCCAGCCCTACTCAGAGGAATCTAGAAAGTACAATGTAAGGACAAAGCTAAAGATGGAGCTTGTCAATTTTAACATGGAAAAAGAATAACGAGAGTGGTTTAGGACAGAGGAGCCGCTGTAAACTCCTAGTTTTCAACTTCCTTGCTCCTAGCCGTCCCAGACCATAGTTACAAAACAAATACAAAAGGATAAAAAAGAAAGCAACAAGCTTGAATGAGAAACTGAAAAGCAGCAATGTGAGAGTCAAGAAATGAGCAACTTGATTTCTGCCCACCAGCACAGTTATGTGTTTGATATTTTGCCTCAAGAAAATAAAGGCAAACTTTGTAACAAATAGCAAATACACAGAAACTTACTACTATTTTCCCCTTACTTATTAATATTGAGACTCCATGTAGGAAAAAGAGGGTAGGAAGTGAAAAGCAAAGAAGAGAGTCTCAGAAGGAATTATTCAGAAAGCAAAAAATCAACAACCGTCTTTCACTAAACCACCACCTCAAGTTTCCTTCCCATCTCTGTCCCTCCTCTTCCTACCAAATTTCTTGAGGGAGTGTTTGCATAAGCTTCTGCTACTTTATGACAAAATCACTTTTGCAGGCATGTAAACTAGTTTAGGACTCTACTTAAGTTTTGGGGCAGGATGGCCTGTATTTTAAGGTGTCAGTCTCTCCTTTGCATGCCAACTTCTCAGCCAGGTAGAAGACAGCAGAGACAAATAATGTGAGAGGAGACAAATAATCTGAGAGATACCATAGAGACATCAACAATAATGACCTTTCCAAACATTAATGCTGTTCATGGTTTGCTGAAAAAGACATTTTTTGGGTGAGATGCTGCTGACACAGGAACCAGTTCAGTATTAGCTAGGTATGATAATTCCTCAGGGTCAGTAGGTGAGGGGAATTAAGTGAATCTTACTCTGTTACAGGAAACAAATTATTAGGTGTAACACAAACAGTGGTGGCTTATGCCCAGGTTCTACAGTTCCAAGCTATAAAAAGAGCAGTTTTATCCTGAAACTAGATTGTCATTTTTGTAATGAACACATAAGTAATGAAATTATAAATTTGTGATAATTTATAGCAAAGTGCCCCCAGCTGCTAATCATATGGATCAGCTGACCTGAATAAATTTGAGTCAACCAGCCACAGTTGAGTTAGAATTCATCGAGGGGACTGAACTGCCTCATTGGGCTGGACTTGTGTGCCCTATTAAGGAACTCAGGATTATATTACGTATACCTGCAAATGTGTTATCACCATGTTCCCGAAAATGCGTGGTGGCAATGAAGACTCTCAAACAGTTATAGGGCAAAATACAGAGTTGTGTCCAACCCAGAAACTATAACTTCCTGATAGGAAAGGCTGGCGTGGCTAAAACAGATCTCAGTTTTTTAACACTGACCAAATCCTCAGGTTGGCTGAAAAGCGGAATTCTGTTCTAAACCTTTAAATTTGTAGGTTTGCTTCTTTTATTTTAATCTCAAATGCTGAACCATGAAATTCCAATCTTAACATACAAGTGTGGGTTGGAAAAACATGAGGCCAATAGTATGTTTGGTGAGCTAAGAAACAATGTGAGAAGACAGAAGAGATAAAAGAGGAAAAGTGAAGTCAAGGGTCAAACTGGGGCATAATTTAAACACTCTAAATTGAACTCAATTAACTTTTTCTCCATGACCCTATGTCATTTGAAAATTACTTATTTTGCAGAGCACTCTTGACTTTTGACAAGTTTGTAAAAAGTGCTTCATTCATTAACAGTATACTTAAAATAACATGTCAAATCTCTTGAGAAGTTACAATTAAATTAAGACTTATAATTTAAAGCTTTCATTTGAATATATACAAATGACTGTGAGAGAGAAACCACAAAACATGTAGGCATGGGCTGCTTCAGCTGGACCGCACTGAGTCAGGCGGATTAGAATTTGTTCTTAGAAACAAAAGGAAATTCTATTCCTAAGTCATTGTGCTCTGCCTACTATAACATACCCTGGGCCCTGTTGGGGAAGGTGGCATTTAGTTATTTTCATCCTTTTGTGTTTTAGAGTTTCTGACAAGACCTATTACGTGGACATAAGGGACAGGGCAGAGAGAGTGGAAGGGGCAGTGAGAAAGGAGAACAGACAACTGGAAATACAGATATAAATAAGAAGACCACAGGAAAACAGAAGTGTAAACCCAAGCAGGAACTATGACTCTGAGGTGTATAACTGTATAAATGCACCCATAATAGTTTCCTGTAAAAATTACATTTCAGAAAAATTCTATACATTTCCTATAACTTAGAATAGCTAAATAAATACCTAGCATAAAGCAGACAGAAAAATACAATGAATGTTAAATGATAACAAATGTAGGAGAAAATAAAACATAGAAAAAAATAGTGAATTGTTGGAGGAAAAATGACATTTCCTATGGACACATGCTCTTTTATTAATGAACTAATGACCTCATACACAAGTTTTTGCTTTGAAGGATTCATTATGCAAAGGGTCTAGAGTCTAAGAAAACAATCTCCTCTCTCCGCTAAAGATCAGGCAATTGCAGCACAGCTGGCATAATAATTTTATTAATAACCTGTAGATGGTACACTGGTGCTGCTAATGCCAAATTATAATCAATCACAAATACCATTTCTTTAGTTTGCTAAATAGAGAATATATTATTTAACTTCTGCTTTATTATAATTGCATTTTGCTCCATGAGTTGGAATGCAGGGCAAAATCTAAAGTCTTGAGAGACTTCCCACCTACACTATTACTGATATTCTGTGTAAGAACCAGTGACTTTGTAGCTTGAGAGGAGTAACAGAAGAGTTAAGATGATGTATGAAGTATAATCCAAATCTCCAAAAAGCTATTTCACATCAAAAGAAATACTGTTAATCTTCGCTGGGAGAGAAAAAACATACAACAAACAACTAAGAGAAGGTCTCATGAAAACAGATCCTTACTTCAGGGGGTTTTGTAGCTTTACAAAAATAAATCTATTGTTACATTTCCTGATAGGTAACTGGCCATCTTCAGAGCTCTGAAATGAAGACTCAAACTACAAAAAGTGAAGGAAGAGAATAAGTCCTGCACATCAATCAAGTTCCATTCTATTGGTTTGTCAGGTGTTCAATTTATCAGCTACTTTAAATCCAAGAATTATGGGAGCTCAAGACACCTGGCATCTTTGGACTCATGGACTACTGTACCTATTCCTAAATATCTCTAGAGCACAAAGACTCTCATTGCATTTGGCAATCAATCCATTATGGTGCTCAGCTACTTACCTGTCAACAAGGCTACTTGATTTCTTTCCTACCTATCTTGGAAGATCTTGATACAACCCTACTTTATTTTCCCAGATGAGCAAACTTAGTGATGCAACATTTCTTTTTTTAGTTCTTTATTCACTAGACTTGCTTTTATTAATCACAGAGAAAAACTAAGCTAAAATCACTTTTACGTTTCCTTCTGCCTTTGATCACAAAGGGGTAATCTTCTTCAGCCCTTCAGAGCCATTTTAAGATACACTTCTCAAAGCAACCCTCCTCAGTTATATTATATACCAGTGCATAAAGGGGTCTTAGGTACCAAAAGATAAAGGTTCAGGTTTGTTCAGAGAAGAAACCATAACTTTCCCTAGACATACACCTCAGACAGCCTCTCAAAATCCATGAAATTGTATCACCATATTGATTTATCTTTGACCATTACCCACGATTGAAAGAATTTATTAAGACTTACGTAAAGATACGCATCGTATTGTAACCATCCATCCATCCAAAATACACAAAAGAAGGGAATTAACCTAATTTGACATAAAGCAGGCAAGGGGCAGCCACTTCTGCAGGGTGAATTCAAGAACTCTTCAATCAAATCCTGCTCAGAATTTGATCCTAAAAGCAACAAAAGCTCAGCCACCCCAGTTCTTCATCTCCCCATTCACTGTCCTTACAAGAGAGCTAAATGAATGAAGTCTTGCTTCTGTGTGGAAAACTAGAGGTACATTTCCCCCATCAATATTTAGACCTAAAGTAAAATTAGAAGACACGTTTCTCAAGCTGACCAACACTGTCATTTTGGGTAGGAAGATCCTTAGTTGTACTTAAGTATCCTTAGCAGGTTGAGATGTTTAGAACCTGATCCCCTGCCCAAGGATAACAATGGTCCTAGGTGCTGAGACCACTGACAACACCCCACATTCTTTAAAGCCCCGCTGTGAACTACGATGCTGCCTTTGATGAATGTTGACATCCACCCAAGTCATGATACTTTTTAAAGATTCCCTGATATACACAGGGATGAATCTCATATTCTTGAAAACGAATATGCTGAACAAAACATTTCTCTAAATTTAATAAAACCAATAAAAAGCATCACCCGAGTATCACAGGGAATTTTATTTTCATTTGGTTCATACTGCCAGTAAAGAATGAAGTCTGCTTATTAGGCAAATGGAATGGGGTCACAGTCCCAGAGTTCAACCTGTTGCAGATATAGGAACAGAAGAATTAGACTCAACCAGCATTTTTTGCTCAAGAAAATTCTGTGTGTGCAAATTAGAATTCTGGAGAGCAGAAGGTCAAAGGCCATGTGTAACACTTTCAAAATTCTACACCTTTAAGGGAAAATGTATAGGTTGAGATGCCAGAGAGAGTCTGAGGAGAAGTAGGAAGGAAAGAAAGAAGTGAGGCAGGAACCAAGATCATCTTGGGAAACAACCTGAAAGTCCAACTCGCTACTGCCTCAATGGGAACCCAATTACATCTGACGGGAGCTGCAGAAGCTCAGATGAGGGTTCAGTGAGATTCTGACCACAACGAAGGAAGACAGAGCACACATCTAACCTTTGCTGGTTTTAGTCGGTTCTGAGGACATGTTTCCAGTCTTCTTCTTTTTTCTTGGGATAGGTACACATTTCCGGTCAAATGTAACAGGGCTATATTGAGGGAGGCTGTTGAATTTTTTTTCAAATTCTTCATCCAGCTTCGCTGAGCTAATAAAAAAGAAGGGATGTAATGAATCAGTACATGATGTAAATATTTAAACAGGAAACAATACAAGATCTATTTTAAGATATTTCTTTTGACAACTCTTCTGAGAACTGATTAATAAATTCTATGCAAAGACAATAAACATCTTTTCAGAAAAGCTTGAGATTTACCAACACAGTTTTCTTAGTAAACTCATAGGACAGGTTATCTTATTACCTTGGAAGAGCTGAAACATTATTTAAAGTACTGAATATTTTTTGAGTGGAGAATTTGCCACTCTCTCAGATCATCCTGGAGAGTTGGCCAGGGGGAGGGTAAAGCACTCAGCGAGCAAAGGAAAAGCCAGTTTTCAGTGGACACATGGGAAAGGCAGCCCGGCTCCGACCCTCACCGCAGACCTCAGGACCACCACCAGCCACGCTGGGGAATGCCGGGGCTGCCTCTGCCGGTCGGCAAGCCGGCCTCCCCCCCCCAGCAATGGCAGCACCCTGCGGGGTCCTAGGCTGGCGCTGGCTTTCACAGACTCACTGGTGAGGCTTATTAACTAAGATGCAGCCCGAACCGGCGGGAGAAGCTGCAGGAGAATCTTTGCTCAGTAGATGGAAAATAGAGGGTGCACTGGGAAGAGAGCAGCTTTCAGTAGCCAACTTACAAGAAGGCGGCTGCCTACATGATGTACTTGAGATGTGTCCACCTAAAACTATTCTCAGTTTTGGAGGAATGTACAAGGGTTGGGGAGCAGAGATAAGACAGTCACATAACCAACAGAATTGTCAACAGAAAAGGCAACAGCCAAGTTCTATTAAAGCTGCAAAGGGTGGTGGGTGGGAGCGATGTTTCTCCCTTACTAAAATCATCTTTTCACACTCAGTTAAAAAATGTTTATACTAAATGGAAAATCAGGTACTATCTGGTACTAATTAGGTGTACCCAAAAGCAATCTGTAAGATGTGAATTTTTCAGATACTCTGAATAAGCAAGAGAAAAATATGAAACACGAGAGGTAATTCCTAAGGTCTCTTGGGACTCTTTTTTTTTTTTTCCAACTAGAATAATCACCTCTGTTTTTCTAGGATAAATCTATAAAATTATAACTGCCAAAATTGGATGAATTTTTCTTGGCTACAGTTAACTAAGCAGGTAGCACATTTTCTGCGATAAAAAGGTTTAAAATGCTCATTTATAAAACTCAGATAAAACTGACAGGAAGTGGCATTTCTCACTGCTCAGGCACTATGTTGGTGTGTTTTCAACAAGGCAAACCCAGATAGTCTGATTCTGACAGGCCATTATTTAAAGGAGAGAGAGGAGGAACGACCAGAAGTTTTAAGCCTGTAGAAAACCTCACTCCCAGTTATATATATATGTGACTGCCTTAGAAANACTGTTGATTTAAGCCTGTAGAAAACCTCACTCCCAGTTATATATATATGTGACTGCCTTAGAAATGACTTCAAACACACACAACAAACAAAGAAACAAACAAAAAACCAACCCACAAAGCAATCTCTTTGTAGGGACAGATTTTCCAAAGATTGTTTCACTCTTCTCGTTCCTCTAAGAGGACTAGCAACAGCCTCAGCAGTATCTAAGGGAAACCTGCACGCCTGCTGTGTTCTGCTAGGACTTCACTGTTTGCAATGAGAGCTGCTCCTCCCTCTCTTGCTGGGTAGACATACTGAGCACTGGTAGTTCCAGAAGTTATAAAGCACTGGTCCTAATGCTCAATGGTCACTTTTTTAGGAAATACGTCATTTAAAAAGTCATCATTTGACAATGACAAATGTGAAGATTTTTAGGTCATTGTTGAAGCATAATATAAGCAGAACTAATTTGAACTACTCTGGAGCTGAAAAAAATAATAGGAAGGAAATCTATAAAATTATAAATATACCATCTCAATATATATAATCTTGAGGAATCATTGTCATGAGAAATAATTTCCAGTCTCACACTTTGTGATGACCTAGAGCCTTAGAATTAACCATACTTTGAAGCACTGTAACATCCAAGGAAAAAATATATTCCACAAACAGAAATGCAGATATTTATGAATAAACTAAGTACAATATTCCCAATGCATAAAATCTGCATAATTTTAAACATATTTATGAACAAATACGGAGAATATAGAAATGTATTTATTTCTGTTCAATGTATTCTTTTCAAATTGGACTAAGAGAAATTGCAAAGAATTTTCAAAACAGTACAAGTGAATATTCAGCTGTTTTCCTCACCAACATAAAGTATTATATCTCACAACTTTGCTTTATATTAAACAAAATGCTTTATATTAAGATTGGTAATAGTCTTTGGCATAACATAAAAATGAAATAATTCTTAATGATTTTATCTTGATGTATGCTACTGCTTGACACTAAGTCTCAATATATAATTAATAACTGAATATTCTCTGTACCAGAGAGAATACTCAATCTATTATTTCTGTCTTATAGTAGTAAAATACAGTTTAAACAAAACAAGATTAGAAGTAAAAACATAATTTTATTTACCTTACATTTTCAGCTGTCATTTTTTTTTACAAAGATATGTACATGCCTAGAAATACTAAATAAAGTACACACAGTATGTAAAATGTAAACATAATTATACAATATCCACTGTAAACCTCCGATGAGAACATGCATCCTGGCAATATTAAAGAATTTACAATGTCACACCACTAATACATGGTGGACCTCAATCCAAACTCAGGCCTAAGTCCGATACTTAAAATGTGAATGACACTGTCACTCTCACAACCGTGTTAACAGCAAGAACCATGTGATACACATGATCTGTCCTCCCTCGTGTATTTACTAAGATTGTAGTATGTGCTAAATGAATATTCAATAAGCAGTTAGAAATTTATGTTTGCCTTGAAAATCCTACCACACTTGGGGCTGTGCAGTGTAGCCAGCTGTGCTCACAGGCACTTACCCAAGGAGAGAATCTTCCTTTGGCTTTGTCTTCTTGAACTTCTTGCTCCCACTGGTCCCACTTGGGCTAAATGTCCAGCTTTCTTCATTCCAACACCCTTCATGATCAGAGGAGTTTCCTTTTCCTGAGCTTCGTTTCCCTAAGGACATTCAAGAGAAAGAACATGTTCGGTATATTGGGATGGGAGGGAAATCATCTTAGGTTTCCCTCCCGTCACAAGTGACCTCTTGACCCCTTAGGTTTCATGGGCATGTTGCTATTTGCAACTATTCAGAGTCTCTCAGAGTGATTCATGATGGACTAACCTTAATAACAGAACAAATACAAGAGTGACTTACAGCCTCTGAGATAAGTTATCTTGTCATAACTCAACAGCTACTGTGTGACTCCAGANAATAAGTTGTCTTGTCATAACTCAACAGCTACTGTGTGACTCGAGACAGACCAAAGACTGCTAGCTTTTCCATTAGAGAATCAGCTTAAGGTNGATAAGTTATCTTGTCATAACTCAACAGCTACTGTGTGACTCCAGAGACAGACCAAAGACTGCTAGCTTTTCCATTAGAGAATCAGCTTAAGGTGTGGGAGTTCTTTGCTGGTGGCCACTATTAATTCGAATTCACCAAGATTTATTGGAATGACATCCCTGGAGAACTATGCAGTCCCGAGGATCTTCATTTAGGGCTTGCTAGACCTAGTATTCACACATCTCTAGTTGGAATTTAGCTTGGCCAAAGGTAATCCCCTAGCATGATGTATTTTAACACAGATGAATTCATAAGAAACACTCTATTAATAAAGATATACACATTAACTGGCTTCTGGATGCTGTTCTGTTTTAAAGAGCCTTCAGTTCAATTATAGTTTTGATTACCTAATGGAGAGGACTAGATAAGTCATTTGCTCCTGTACCTACAGGTTAAGATTCTGCTAAACGTATCTGCTTGATTCAGGAAATTCTTTCCATTAGTTTTAGAAAACAGGCTAAGAACTCCAGACATGCAATACTGATTTTTCAAAACAAAAACCCAGCCCATACCAGTAAAAAATAAAGGTCTGAATTACTTTAAACACTTACATCCTGAAGACACTCTCCTCAGTGTTGCTAAGAAACATGTACGTAAAACAACAAATGTATGTGATCTATAAACCAGTAACCGTACAAATACAAAATATCATTTTGACGCCATATTGTTCTCTCTGGTGGTTCTTTTCAATAGGTCTAAAGGAGAAATTCTGCTAGGTTTCAATAATCTTTTCAGATGTGTAGAAGTCACTTACCTCTGTCAACATTAGCTCTCAGAGAGGTGAGCATGCCCTCAGACACCAGGGTTTTATAAAGAGCACCTTTGCAAGACCTCTCAGATTTCCGGGAGCCACAAGTCTCTATTTTTCTGTGACAATCACCATCCTCAGGCTTGGCCTGTCCCGATAAGCTGGGTGGTAATGCGTCCTCCGTGGGGGTCAACGGTTCTGCTTTTATACCCTCTGGCACCTCACCAGAAATGTTCTTGCTGGCAGAAATATTAATGAAATCTGGAGGTCTTGACTCTTTGGTGGTGTCTGAGGATTTCTCCTTTGACATTTTCTTCTCTCTTGATTTCACTTTTTTCTTTGGTGGCTTGGCATCCAAAATATTTCCCTTGCCACTTGAGGATGTGCGGGCCTTCTTGCGAGGGGTTTCTCCAAGTTTCTCAATGCCCCAGTCTCCCTTTGCGACAGCTTCAATGGTGTATATGACACTCTCGATGTCAGACTCTGAGGACTGCCTCTTTTTGCAAGTCTTCTTAGGTGTGGATTTATCATTTCCATGTCGATCCATTTTGCTTTTCTTCTTTTTCTTTTTTAGCTTTTCTGGTTTGTTTAATGCTGTGGGATCCTCAATGATCATAATCCCATGAGGATGGCACATGTGATCCTTTCTACTAGGAACATCGCTTATTATTATCTTGCCACTGGCAGAGTAAGAGAAATCAGAGAAGTGACTACATTTTTTATCTTCGTCTAATTCTTCCTTTTTAATTTCTTTGGGATCTTCCATTTTTATAGCCATTATATCATCCATTTGCAGCTCTTCCAAATTTCTTAATTCCTTGGAATCTTTTACATTTTCCTTAAATGATTTTTCAAATTCTGCTTCCTTCTGTAATCTGGCTTCATCTGTTTTCTCCATTTTTATTTCTCTTTCTTCCTTCCCCTTCTCCAAATCTTTAATTCTTCCGCCATCTGATTCTTTTGCTTTTATTAACTTGGATTCTTCCATTTTCATTCCCTCGGATGCCAGACACATCTGAACAGTTAAAACAAAAATGAGATAACAACAGCAACAAAAATCCTTATTATTCCATACTTGAAATTAGCTTGAACTTTTAAATTATCACTTTTTAAAAATAATCATAACAAACTTCAAATTTTACATTAGTCCACTTGTGCCAAGCTAACTTAAATGATTCAAATTAATAAAAGGTTTTAGGCATTACGATATAGTCATTAACCTCTAGACAAGCATATGCCTGAATTCTCATTTTCCAACTTCTGGGAAGCTTTTCCTAGGGAAAAAAGATTTGGTAAAAGGAGCATGGGATCCAGGGCTGAAAGACCTGAGTTTGAGTCTTAGTTTTGCTACTTGCTAACTTTGTAGCTGGAATGAGTCATCTCACTCCTTACTCTTCTGTCGCCTTTATAAAATAAAAATAATTTGTCCTAGAAGATTCTGTGAGGTCTAACAGAGATGCTAAGTCTTGTACTTATGGCAACGCTTAGCAGATCATCCCCAAACTCTGTCCTGATATCTGTCCTTTCGTTCCTGGGGAAAGGAGAAAAATAGTGACTATTTCTATGTATCCACTTGAAATTAGAAATAAGATGATTCATTCAACAGCTAGAGGAGGTTTTGGTAAATGAAACTTTACAGGTCCACAAATGCTGATAATTTGAAGATCACCAAAGCTTTGAAAACTAAGTGATGGTGGTTTTTGTGTTTTTTGTTTTTAACTCACTTGGTGGCCAACTCGATCACATCCAAATTTTCTCAGCTGCAAATTCTGACCAAAACTAATGTGAAACCCCTTGACGTCTTAATATATCTCAATGTGACTATTCATATGCTTTTGCTATCAGAATCTTCATTCATTTAAATATGCACTGGGGAAATTAGCTGCATAGTGTAAGATACATACACTATTATCATTTTCCTAAAATCTGAAAAATTCTGAATACCAAAAAATATCTGGCTGCAATTTGGTTGTTTTCAAACTCCCAAGATTTTACATGCAGGACATTAAAGGAGAAACCATGCCGATTAGGCAAAGGGCAGCACAGGAATTCTTAGTACTTATTTCATCTACTTTGCATTAAACAGCTTAGAGGAAAGAGTATTAGGTCTTGTAGAGCCCCAAATTAAGCACATGAGTAAGAAACTAATTCATTTTAAAAGAAAAATCACCATTTTATCAAATGGCAAGTTGTCAGAGATTAACATCTGTAAAGTTCATTTTTCAAATTCAAAATTTTAAATGGATACTACATTGAATTAAGTATCAGCTGCTCTTTTAGCTAATTTTTTCTCCTAGTACTTTCAATGTCTCTCAAATTCTTCCTTGAAAGTTATGTTATGATTAGTTAGTCTGGGAAGAAATTGGAGAAGGGGTGGAGGTGGGGGCAGACAGTGCAAGTTTTTTAAAAAATGAACATGACAAGAGTCCCCAGCCCTTTGGATCATTCACAGGGAGATCTGAACTACGGGTTCACAATGAAGCTTTTTTAGGAAATCAAGTTAACTTTTAGACCTCAGCAAGTAGTTATGAAGACAAAGAACTTCCCTTTATTAAACCTAACCAGAAATAAGGTCAAAGCAAAATGTTATCTTAACTTACTTTTGAAACACTAATAATACATTTAATCTTTCCTGCATGTTTTACTGTCATGGGAGATTTGCTGTTTTTTGTACAAATTTTGAAATAATTTCATTTCCCTTCTCAATGAATGTAACTATCCCACTGTGGGGAGAAAGTCTATACTAGTTCTTGAAAGAAGATTGGAAAGTTATCCTCAAGGTAAATTTTATGGTTTTTCAATTACCATCACTCAGATGGCCTTTAATAAGTCATCTCAGGGACCTTTTAGCATATAGGTGCTGGTTTTTACAGCGATATGCCAACAGTTTGTATTTGCACAAGTTCATCTTATCAAACCTAATAATACTCTGCAAACACTATTCTCTGCTTCAATATATTTCAAAATGATTCTCCTCATCACCCCCAATAGAAATGAAATGGAACAAATGCAGACATTCACTCCGGGGACATATTCAAGGAAATAGCATAATATTTCTTGTAAAGTTAATTACACTGAGCACTAGTCATGCTTTACTTCCCTGTTTCAGGTTTGAAAGTTTTTTTGTTGTTTTTTTTTTTTTTTTTTTCACAAATAGAGTATGTTAACCTTAAATTATAATAAAAACAGTTATATTCCTGGAAGTGAAACTATAAAAATAAAACAACTCCTAATAAAAAACTACAAACCACAAATCTCATTAACCCAAAAAACCAAAACAGATGAAACAGAGTTGGGTGTCACTCTAGAAACTATTTAATTTAACATTCTTCCCAGTGTAAGTATTCATTTTACTACTATGTTCCTGAGAGTTAGTTATCCAGCTTTTTGCACAAAAGCAATGACCACAGGAGAGGGCAGTTCTGTCTGAAATCTTTTAAATATTAGGCAAAAATCTATCACCGTGTCAGTCCTAGTTGTTTCCTGAAGCCACATAAATTAGTCCACTCTTTCTCTCACGTGACAGCTTCAAATCTTTGAAGACAGACTTTACGTTCCCACAAGCCTCTTCTCCTAGCATAATGTTCCAGGTTCCCTTGAGTGCTCACCACATGTAAAAGCTTCCTGACCTTTCAAAGTTGGATCCCTCTTACCTAGATGCAGTATTGTGTCCTGCGGTGAGAATGTGCTTTTTTGTAATTAGCTGGGTTCCCCACCTAGTGCCAGACCTTGCTTGCCTCAGGACACACAGACAGCTGTGTATCTTAGACTTGAACCCATATGAGGAAACAAAGGGTGAGAAATGGGGTAATCCTCCACTGGGTTGTTGTGAGGCAAAGGTGAACAAATGTGTGCACATACAACTTGTAAATGACATAAAGCTTTGCAAGGGTAGGGGGATAGTGATGCTTCAATTTAGCAATATCTGTCTTCGAGTAAGTTCCTACCCTTCCTGTAATACTCTTGAAGAGGAGGAGAACTACTTGTCAGTTAACAAGGACCACCAATCTTCTGATGGAGCCTAAAGACAAGTCCCACCCCACCCCTCTTTTAAACAGAGGCAACATTTCTGGCTTGAATGGGGTTTGTGGTCAATTAAAATCCTGGATTTCTTTACCCACATGATATGCTAGGAAGCTTGGCCTCTCCCATGCTATATCTTTGTATTTTTTGTACTTAGATGCAAGATTTTCCATTTTCCTTATAAAGTTTATCATTTGACAATTTGAATTAAAATACCTATCAGCTTTGTGTTACGGACACATTTGATAAAAGCTGCTTTATATCTTCATCCAGATCTTTGGTAATAAATGTTGAATAGGACATAGCCAAGGACAGAGCCTTCTGGTAAACCTCTAGAGCCCTTTCATCAGGTTGACTTGAACACTGATAAACTTTAGCAATCTAAGAATTTATAATCTAGTCTAAATTCCCCCTATTTTATTCACAAGGACATAAGACTGTCAAAAGTCTTGCTGAAATCTGGATATAATATAACAGCATTCTCTTAGTCTATTTTAGAATCATACCAAATAGGAAATGAAAATGGCTTGTGCACCAGTCAGGTTCTATCTAGGCAAACAGAAACAACTTAACCATGCCTAGCTGAGGGAATTTAAGGCAGGGAATAAGTTGGTTACACAGATCTTGAAGAACTGAGACACCCAGACAGGAGGTGGTGAGGCAATCCAGGGATTAGCTACAGGAGAAAGTCACGGTGGGTACAAATGGGGGAAGTGCTCCTGAAGCCTAGGGGGTGGGTCCTAGTAGAAGATGGAGCCATGGCGGGCCTGTCTGGAGACAGATGGAGGCACAAAAGAGATGCTCCTCTGCTGTATCCCCAGCCCTCCTCATGCCTCCTTTGACCTACCCAGCCTCTCTTTCTCTCCTCTTCCCTCATCCCCTGCCAGTGTCTGTCACTGGCTAAACCCAGCTGGAAAGCAGGGGACACAGGAATCCAGGAAAGGCAGTCTGCAGCCACCTGGGATATAAGCCAGCATACAGACCAAACAGACTAGCACATTTGACAATGCTTTATTTCAGGGAGACTTTCATAATTTCCAGTTTTTAGCTCCTTTTCTGAGTTAAAACATTATATTATTAGGGATATATATAAGCTCAATTCTACTTTTGGGTACAAGTATATCTACTTACATCTACTTTTGGGTGCATATATCAACACTTCAATGGGACTTAGTAAAGTGCGTAAGCACTACATTACGTAAATATGCAAGATTGTGTGCACACGTGAATACGTAGTGGATGCAAGAGAACATAAATCAATGTGAACTCAAGTGAATAAAACTGCATTGTGGAAGCGCAGAATTAATGTCTGTTATTAATTAGTCAGGCTGCCCTTAATAGAAGGTTGGTTGTTAAACAGGCCCTGAAACAGAACATGCCTTAATAAATGAGAATTTATTATTCTATTATTATTTTAAATTGGACAATCACCTTCTTTTAAAGTGAGAATGCAAAATCATCTGCAGTGCAGCTTTCCGGATGGAATTCCCATGGCTATATTCATAGAAGTTAAAATGTTAATGTTTTAAATCAAATGCTGGGCACCAATATGTGATATTTACTGTCTGTTCCTTCAGGTCCTGCTCTATTTTCATAACTGTAACTCAGAGGGTACAAACTGTATCCTGTTCACGTCTGTATTCTTCACCAAGAATATCCTAGTACCCACCTTCAAAACAAATGCATTCAACAGATAACCATGTTAAACTGAATGGGTCATTTAGTTCCAAAATAACTGATGAGTCTAAAATGCGTTCTGATTCATACCAAGAAAGAGCGACTTTACGAGTCCATAAAAACAGTGCTAACTATGATCCTGTTACTGGCTGGCCTGGACCAGTAATCACACTGTCTCCAGCTCTGCTTCATGAAAGCACCAGTGAAAATTTACCACCAATATTTTAATTTTACCTCTAACAATATTTTAACTCCAAAACAATGGGGTTTCTCACTATTTTGTGTAATCAGAATGGCATAGCATGGATGTGCTAG